GGGAATGCTTACGCGCAGTCTGCTACATCTCCAGGCTTGTCACCTGGCTATGAGCAGCCGCTGCGTAGCCCATCTCTGAATTCGTCGACTTCTGGAGCTCAGGCCTCGGGCTACGACCAGTCATACAACCAATATCCGGGCAGCGTACCCAACGGAGCCGCGTCTACTCCTTCATATTCAGGCTCTTCGCAGCCGCCCTATCCCACCACCACTCAGATCCCGGCCGGGCCTTATTATTCTCCCATCGAGCACAACTCGCACTACAACCGGCAATCTCGCTCGAACTCGCAGGTCTCCCCCGTGGGTTCACCTTCGAATCTCCCGCAGTCCTCGTCCCCAGGCGTACAACGGCACCCGACGAATGCGCCTCTGCCGAGCCGGCCTTCAGAGGTCTCGTCTGGACGATGGGGTGGTGGCCAGCAGCAATATCAAGACGAGCATGTCAATGACAATCTGATGCAGGAGTTGGAGATGGAATTGGGCGGCTCTGGCCAGACCTATCGCCCACTACCCGAGCCCACCAATGGCCAGTACAACGACGAAGACTTGTCCGGCGAGCACCTTTCTCGCTACGACTCGAATGCCACAACGATCCCTAATATGGCTAGCCGAACCACCTCGACTCGAACAGGGACCACCGCTTACGAGCCTGAGGAAGACGAGGATGATGATGATGCGTATGGAGAAGCCGGCCTGATGGCCATGCGGCAAGCCGAACTCGACGAGCAGCGCTTCAGCTCTGCTTTTGGCTACACTGATATGCCAGCCATGGCGAATCCAGAACCACCCGTGTCAAGACCCTTGCCCACTCATCCAGAAGAGCAGGCACAAAGCAGCGACAGCGATTATGCCGGCATGGATCTGGGCGCGATGGCCGGCGGGTTCGTCAGCGGCGTATCCTACAGCAACATTGGATCACCGCCGGCCTCCTCGGGCCAGGACGTTGCTGCTCGGCCGCTTCCCACGCCAAATACTACCAACCGGAACTTTGAGGCAGAGATGAACTATGGTGATACAGGGGGACTGAAGCCCCCAACTGAGAAGCGTATGAGCTTTGACGATGATGACGAGCGGGTCTCGCTTCGTTCTCGCCAGAGCGGAACAGAGTCTCCCAACAGAGACCAATTGCAGGACCTCTTTTACCACCCAGGACTGTCAAGTCGACCACTACCCGCGATCCCTGGCCCCGGCTCTGACAGCAGTTCGCTGCTCTCGGTCCAGACTAACAACCGGCAGCCCTACCAGCACGGGTACTCTCGCAGCGTGGGCTCGCAGCTTGGCCAGGTTGATAACCCCGAGGCATACTACACTTCTGGCGGCGCATACAACCCCCAGCCCGAGCGATCCATTTCACTGTCCGGACACAGCCACACTCCTCAAGTTCAGCCTCCAGCGCGCTCCAGGACCGATGCGGCTGCTGATGAACGGAGGAGACTAGCCCGACAAAGCCACATGCCACAGAGTCAAGTATTCCCAGAGTACGAGACAGCAGACTTTGGTGGTATCACCCTGCCCAGCGGTCGCAAGAAGAAGTTTGTCCCCTCGAAGCTCAATGCCGCCGACTTCCGAAGGTGCCCCGAGCCGTGGGCGCTCACCTGTCTCGAGGCCTGGATTCGCGAGATGGCAGAGGGTGAAGCCGACCTGAGGAGCAAGACGGTTGAGGAAGCCTTGATTAACCTCTTCACGGGCAAGATTCCGACCATGAACGTGGCAGATGCCGAGGTTCTCAGCAACCACGTAATAACGCTGATGCTGGAACGGGCAGTTCTCGTGCCAGAGGAGGAATGGGTCAAGTTTGGAAACGGCCACATCTCAGGAGTCCTGTGGCAGTTGACAGGCTCTGGATGCTATGCGCCCAAATTGCACGACGAAGAGATCAGCGGACGCTGTTACTCGTACCACTGCACCCGTTCCTTGAAGAAGGTGGATCTAGAGGAGCTGCCCGACACCAAGCCGGCCGACGAGTGGCATATATTCTACGGCCTCAAGAAGGAAGATTGGGAGTCCAAGCCCAAGAAGGAGGTTGAACGGCAGAACATCCTCCACGAGATCGTGACGGGTGAGGAGAACTACATCAAGCAGCTCGACATCTTCCGCAGATACTATCGAGATCGCCTCCGTGCTATGCAGCCCCCGATCCTGAAGCCCGAAACGAGAGACAGGTTCTTGTATGACGTGTTTGGAAAGCTGGATACCGTCCAAGACATCAACAAGGATCATCTGCTGGCGCAGCTCAAGTACCGGCAACAGGAGCAGGGACCCTGGATCACTGGCTTCAGTGACCTGTTCCGAGAATGGATCCGCAAGGCCAAGGCTATCTACGTCGAGTACGCATCGGCATATCCGAATGCCGTCTATACTGTCCGCAGAGAGGCGGATCGCAACCTCTACTTTAAGCGATTCTTGGACGAGATGCAGCGACACAAGATTGCGTCCAAGCAGGACTGGACGCACTATCTGATCGCCCCCATCCAGCGTCTTCAGCGTTATATTCTCCTTCTCGAGAGTGTCGAGCACAAGATGAAGTCAGACAGCGAAGAAAAGACAAACCTCATCAAGGCCATCCAGGAAATCAAGGTAGTTGCTCACGAGTGTGATGGCAGAGTTGCCGAGATGAACAAGAAGGTTCAGATGACAGATCTCAACCGGATGATTGTCTTCCGACCAGGCTACCACCATGCCTTGAACCTCGAGGCGCATAACCACGAGCTGCTGTTCGAGGGTGACCTGCAGAGGATGGGATCCAAGGGAGTCAGATGGGTCGACACCCATGCGCTGCTGTTTGACCACTATCTGATCCTGGCGAAGACTGTGACGCCTAAGGATGGCAAGGGGGAGAAGAAGTACGACGTGAACAAGGAGGTGTGTATTATCCTGGCTTATCTGACGAGCATTGTGACTAACCGGAGGCAGCCCATCTCAATGGCCTTCCTCTTCCTCGAGAGCAGAAACGATGAGCCCGTCCAGAAGCAGAAGGGTATCACTGCTCCTCTGGGCAGAACCACGGCTGCCGCTGCTTCCGGCACCCAGCTGAACAAGGTGGCAACTAATTCAGGCAGACCTGGCCTGGAGCATGCGGCTACCAGCTCTTCGATAGGCTCTGGACTTACACCAATTGGGTCCAACGACATGGAGGGTAAGATCCTGTATCCCTTCAGGATCAAGCATCTGGGCCACGAAGTGTACACACTTTACGCGACCTCAGCCAAGGATCGAAGCGACTGGTGTGACAAGATCATTGAGGCCAAGACAACGTACGCCAAGGGTCAATTCTCTCAGAACGCCGAACCCTTCCGACTTCGCGTTCTCGCCGATGCCGCTTTCCACTTCGACAACACCTCGATGTGGGCCAAGACCCCGGTGGTCCCCCAGATCAAGGGCACACCCCTTGACCGGTCCATCCAGGAGCTGGAGAGTGTGCTGGGACCGGCTCAAGGCGTTGCCCCTGTCTGCCGTGCTCAGGTCAACTGTGCCACTGGCTTCACTGCCTTTGGCAAGTCTGTGATTGCCATTGGAACCGACTATGGTATCTTTATCTCGGAGCCGTCGAATCCTCGCGGATGGTTGAGGGTGAGTTCCGACTTTCATTGTTTACGGTTCATGACTAACAAGATACTGTAGACTGTCCAAGCAACCCGTGTCACGCAAATTGCGGTTCTCGAAGAGTTCTCAGTCTGCGTGCTCATCGCTGATAAGAACCTCATTTCTTATCCCTTGGACGCAGTAGCTCCCGTCAACGAGTTCTCGGCGCCTGTCATCTCGGACAACCCCAGAAGAGCACCACAGAGACTGGCCAAGGATGTGACATATTTTGCCACAGCCAAGATGAAGGATCGAATGCTTCTCTTCTACAAGCGCAAGGAGGGTCTACACACTTCGTTCAAGGTGCTGGAGCCCATCTTCCAGAAGTCGACCGAGAAGAAGTCCCGACTATTTGGCGGACGCAGAACTGGCGGAGGAACCACCGAGTCCTTCCGCGAGTTTGACGAATTCTTCTTCCCTACCGAGTGCTATTCCCTCAGCTTGTTCCAGACATATATCGCCGTGGCGACTGCCAAGGGAGTTGAGATGCTCACGCTGGATAAGAAGCAGCCCATGTCGATCCCAGATCTCAAGGAACCGGCCATCGCCAACATTGCTGCCCGAATTCGAGACCAGCGACCTCTGGGAATGTTCAGACTCAACGAGAACGAGTTCATCCTGACGTACGAGGACTGTGCCGTGTATGTGGACAAGCACGGAGAGGTGAGCCGAACACTCATCATGGAGTACTCGGGCAAGCGAGGCAAGGCCCGGGGAGCGACCATGTACGGCTCGTACCTGATCATCTTCAACGACGACTACGTCGAGGTGCGAAACGCCGAGAACGGACGAGTACGACAGATCATTGCCGGCCGCGGGGTTCGGGTCCTGGACCTCGGAGTTCGTGGGCCCACGGGCCAAAGCACGCTCAACCCGCAGAGCAACGGCTACCTGCAGTCCTCGAGCGGCAGCGAAGGATCCAAGGGCACTGTCAAGATCTCCATGTGCCATCCGGAGCTTCCGGGCCGACAGATCATCCTGGAGATGCTCCTTAATGACGGACACACGGAGAAGTAAAGTAGGGGATGAGGTGACGATGACTATCATGACGATGAGACGAGACGAACATGATGGGATTGAAACGCCACCAAGGTGATATGATGTTAATTTACAAAACATTTTGGAGGAAGAGGTTTACTTCTTTATTCATGTACATATTACGGATGATGTTTCGCTTCTCTTTTTAACGGACCACCAGGGGCCCTTGGGGTTGGATGTTATGACGGGGGCCAAGTTTTGTATGCATGGCGTTTATGGATGGTATGAGTGTCGGTGTCGTATGAATGCTATCTATCATGAATGATACCTGCAGAGGAAGATTTGAGAGAGACTTTGTGTTGGATGATGGGAAGATGATATGTCATGGATGTGGATGCATCTCGAGCTCTTGTCATGACGAGTATTGCATTGCAGGTGCACGTGGGTATATCTTGCATTGGTTTCTTTATTTGCTGGAACCCCGAATCCAACATGTAATAGCTATCCTCTAATTTTGCAACAAGGGAAAAACAGACAGACAATTCATCTCATCCCTAGGGTTTCCCCTGTATAGGACAAACCCAAAAAAACCCCTCCTTTTGCAGCAACGACATGGTGACTAAACGCATGCCTCGGCCCAGCTCTTGCCCAAACGCATTGAAGCGACTCGTCCCGTTCTCGATTCCAGGCAAGGGGTTGTATGTGTTGTGTGTGTGTGTGTGTGTGTGTGTGTGTGTGGTTTCTATCAAGTATGGAGGGCGCAATTTAACCCTTGATCTCCTTGACGGTCTCCTTGGCATCGGCCTTGATGTCCTCAATGGCGCCCTTGAGGCCAGCCTTCTTGTCGGACTCGTACTTTGCGATTCGGGTGATCTGGACGAGGCCGACCAGCCCGAGGAAGAAGTTGACGGCGGCGAGGCTGGGTGTGTGTTAGTTGTGGGGGAGTGGCAGATAAGCAGGGGCGTCATACAGGTAGTTCTTGGGCTTGATGATGAGGCACCAGCGGGTCCAGATGATGCCGGTGCAGGTCAGGGCGAGGTTCTGGGTGAAGGAGAGCTTCTCGGCGGGACGAGCAAAGTCGGAGATGCCGGCGAGGACGAGAGCCCACTGCAAGGGATGGAGTCAGTAATCGTGTGTTTAGTTGAGTAGATGGTCAACGAACCTTCATGACGGGAGCCCTGGACAACACGTTAGTATATAGTTGTCATGCAGACACATGATGACTTACCAAAAATGCACAGTCTTGAAGCCGACCTCGCTCTCCCACATGCGATTGAACCACGACTGCTGCTGCTGCTGGGCGCCATCGGTGCTCTGCCACCGACGGCCGCTGCCCTGTCGGAAGTTCTGGCGAAAGGCCTGTCGGGCGGGCGCACCGCCAAAGGTGGTGGTGGCCTGTCGGAAGAGGGGACGCGAGGCGCGGAAGACGGTGGTTGAGGACATGATGATACTGGTTGGTTGAGGGTTTGCGATATCAGCTATCGGAACGAAGAAAAAAGGAAAAATAAGAGTCAGTAGCTATTAGCCCAGAGAGAAAAAGAGCCAATCAACTATGACGCAATTGAAGATGGATAAAGTAAAAAGGGGATAGGAACTGGGGGTGACTCACAGCTTCTGCTTTCTGCTTCTTCTTGATGAGGGAGGGAGTTGAAAAGAAGCTTGAACGAGAAGAGAGACGTTGGGGCCAAACTGGAAGGGTCGGTCGCTGTCGTCCCGAGACACTTTGGGGCGCACCTTCTCTTTCTCACTAGCTGCCCTGCGCAAACCGGCGGGTGAGTGCCCCAGAAAACGGAAGGCGGAACACGGAGTTACGGTGTCCCCGGTGAAAAAAAACGGTACGTAACTTATTCACCGCGGGGTCGCAGCGGCACCGGAGCTCAAGGTGTGCACAATTCCATTTATGCACACGGTCCATTTTGTGCAACCATTCCCGCTTGTCACTTTATTCCGCCCGAAGAGCCTCATCCCGCCATCCTTGCCAACCACAAGCCCGCAATTACCCAGCAGTCGAGCTCTCGTCCGTTCCTCCTCCGCAGCTTCACTCAACAACATCTCGACGCCGAAAACGACGACGACGCCCGCCATGTCCGCCGCAAAGTACGCCTTCACAAAGTCCCTCCGCGAGGTGCGCTTCCTCTTCTGCCAGACCTCGGAGCAGAGCGCGGCTGTTCGGTACGTTGGAATCAACTCTCTCGAATCGACCGGCATGAAACGACACTCCACGCGACAATTGGGTCAATTGGATCGATACGACTGTGGATAGTGCCGGGAAACATACAGAGACACACGAAATGGACGAGAATCAATGGGCTGACCTCACACGCGCAGGTCATTCATCACCCGGGCCTACCCTACCATGAAGCGAAGCAACCCCAACATCCCCATCCTCATCCGCGAGGCCGCCGGCACCCAGCCCAAGGTCTACGCCCGATACGGTGCGTCCGAGACAACCGCAAGACCAAAACCCCTTGCTAACTTCTGTAGAGCGAGGCACCGAAAAGTCCAAGGTCCTCGAGGGCCTGTCGGACAAGGAGATCGAGGACGCCGTCTCGGGACTGGTTCAGACTACGCAATAAGAGATGGGCAGAGGGCAAGACATGCGAGGACAACGAAGCGCGCTTTACGACGGTTAAATGTACATATGGGTGAAAATAAACATGCAACAAGAGCATTGTACCACTACCAACACACCTTGTTGTTCCAACGACATACCCGTAAACTGATGTCGACATTCATCATGACGCATATCTGAAAAGGGACTGATCCTAGCCCAGATTCACTTCCCTAGACGTCACACCATCATTCACAAGCCAATCTGAACTGTGCCAAAATGTCCATATTAACAGTACTGTAAATATCCCCATTACCAGTAAAGTAATGCAAATATCGCAGATAACCTCCCCCGTGGACAATCCAAAGTTGCCCACATCCAACACAAGTCCAGTTCGTCCATCATCAAAAGTATCCGTATCCCTCCCCTGCTTCTCTCAACATTAGCAATCCCTTGATCACCACCCCCAGCTCCGTCACGAGGAGGAACACCAAGAACCAGTTCATCTGCCTCGCCAGGTCTTCACATCCTCCTGTCCGTACCCTTCCCTCTCTGTCCATCGTCTCACCAGTTAGTCTTTTTTTTGAGGTGACCCATGTCCAGAGCCGCACTCCTCCCCCGCCGACGTTGCCTTCTTCTTTGCACTCCACACTGTTGGCGTCTGCGGCTTTGAAGGAGCCCGGTCCCGAGGTCCCGGCAAGGATGGCCAGTCGTCGTTGATCACTGGATCCCGCTTCTTGTCTTTGGCCCCCTTTCCATCTGGGGTCTGAGGCGCTGGCTGCTTCTTCTCCTGTTTGGCTCCGGTCTTGTCGTCCACCTTTGCCCCTGAGGTGACGGCCCGGTCTTTTCCTTTTCCCGACTTCTTGCCCTTGGCTGCCGGCTTCTTGCCTTCTCCATGTGCCCCAGTCTCATTGTTGCGGTTCTCCTTCTTAGTACCCTCAGAGAGCGCTCGGCGGTGTTGGAGAGCAAGGTCGCTAGCTCCACGTGGGAATGCCTCGTGGTTCTCGGGACATATCTCTGAAGACTGCTCACCTTCGCCCCGAGATCCAGATGTGTTTTCCTGAGACTTGATGCTCAAATCCTTGAGGGGGCTCGACTTGCTAGAACCCGTCTTTCCGTCACCCGTGGGCCGCGATGGTGAGACAAACTCCTGCGCCTTTGGGTTGAGTCGACTTTTTGCGCCAGTCTTGGCACCGTTTATCAAGGATGATGAGTCATTTGGAGTCGCGAACTGGGTAGTTTCAAAGACAAAGTCAGAAGTTGGTTGGGAAGCTTGGTCATCAATGTGTTGTTCGGTGAGTGTAGGTTGAGGCATGATAGCACGCGGTCGGCGTTGTTTCCCAATTCGAAGAGATCCTCCTCTGCCCTCTCTGAATCCCTTGCGGCCACGCACAGCTTCCTCCGGAGAGTCAGACTCGTCGAACGCCCAAGGCGGTGGCGCTTGGTTATCGCGTGCGGAACCCAGGTTGGAATCGAACTTCTTAGTTCGCTTCGTCGAGCCAGGGCTGAACAACTGGTTTCCATCATCGTGATGCCTCTTGCCTGAGGAGGGTGATCCGGACGCTTGGCCCCCAAAATGTGCGGATGACTCTGGCATAACCATAGATTGCGTTAGTTCGGCTGTGGCATATGGACCTTGAAAACCAGTCCATGTTTGAGGAAGAGGTGGCCTTGACGTGTTGATTTGGGAATCACCATTTTGCTTTCCCTTCTTCTTCCTCTTCGACTTCTTCGACTTTCCCTTGCTCTGGGTTTCTGTCGATGGATACGCTCTGTTGTCCGACTCAAAGGTCCCCATGGCTGTCCCTGTCCCAGGCTCCTGAATTTCGGCAAATCGGTTAGACTTGAGCTGCTTTCCCCTGGTGATGGTGGCTTCCTCAGCGCTGAATACTTCTGCTTGAGGTTGCGGCTGGATGATGGGTTCGCCAAGTCGGCCATTGGAGGCTGCTTCACTTCCTACTGCTTGGTTCGAAGGGGTTGTAGGACGGTCTTCTTTCTCGGCGCACTGGGTGATTCCATCAGGGATCTTCTCAGGGGAAGGCTCGTAGTCACTGCCAGTCTCGGGAGTGAACGTCTTGGGCTGAGTCGGCGAAGACATATCGGATCCATTTGGCATGTTAGCATCAAGTCTGTCGCACTGCAGGACACGCAAAGCACCATCCTTGGGGGCAGGGCTGTGGTTCTTGGTTGGTGAGGTGGGCTTGGATTTGCGTGGGTTAAGGGGCATCGAGATTTTCGCCCATGCTTGTCGTCTTTCCTTGATCTGGTCTTCCGTAAAGATACTTGGCACGCGAGCATGGTTGGTTGGACCGCTCTCTTCTGGCTCCAGATGGGATTTGGGTTGGGTTGTAGTCTCCGCTCCTGCTGGAGTTTCACTCTCAATCCCAACCTTTGTGTCTTCACAAGGCTGTTCATCGATGTCTCCGGTCAAGACTTTACCAGGCGCTTGGGGAGGTGTGTGAACAGTCAGGTGAGCTTGGGGGCTCTGGGCAGACTTTGGGGGAGTGTTGGGCAAAGAAACCCTAGCCTTTACCCCAGTGATCTTGCTTCTGTTGCTCTGTGGACTAGTGAGTCCATCTCGCTCAACGTTTTGAGTCTCATCCAGTGCTTCCTCAGATGGTGGCTTCGACTGCAGAGTCTCGGCAGAGGATCCGGCGTCCTTCTCAAGGCCCGCAGTAGGGGAGCCAGCGAGGGGAGCAGTCTCGAAAGGTGCTAAGATTTGAGTCTGCTCTTGGCGATGGAATCTCTGTGGTTGAGTTACTGGCTGTGTTCCGGTTTGTGGTTGTTCGAGGAAAGGGGGCCTGATAAAACTTGATGGGCCTCGGGCAAACTGCGTGTCATGGTGAAAGAAGGGTGGAGGCACAAACTCCTGGCCCATCGTCTGCATATTGCCAGCAACAGAATAGATCGGCCCGGACATCGCATGAGAAGCAGGATGGCCCATGACCATTGGGGGGTGTGCTGGATGGGATGGGAAGCCCATGGCCATTGGGGCTTGAACAGTTGGCGGGATGGCAGCCTCTGGGTTGTTGCTCGGCAGAAGGGACATCCATTTTGATCGCACCGTTGGCGAGACTCTGATTGTGATTCCCTTCTCAACTATGTAACCCCCGCCAATCGTAAGGGCTTGTCTGGCGGATTGTTCATCGCGGAATCTAAATAATGTCAGTCAGTGATTAGTACAGTCATGCTGCTCTCCAGGTACTTACCGAGCAAGGAAATGGCCTGGATCCCTCGAGGGTATGGCAAAGACCTCCTCAACAATTCCGTATCGAGCCCCAAGACCGAGTTTGATCCGCATCACTAGATCGAACCCGACGCGGTCTTGGCCAACCTCGACTTTGACGTGGATGCTGCGGTTCCGAGCGTTGCACAGCTCGCAGGAGCAGGGGACATACTCAACACCAAAAGCGCCGTCGACGTTGCGACAGAATGACTGTGCCATGCTCGAGCCTTGCCGACGCCATTGAGGATTGTTCCAGGGTGCTCCGTCACGTCTCTTGTGGTTGAATCCGTGGTCAACCTGATGCTGAACAGCTGGTGCTGTCACATTCCGTTGGTTATTAGATCCACGACGGCTTCCTCCTCTACGAGGCCCTCCGCGGTAATAACCTCCACGATTAGGTGTGAGTGGAACGTTGTTGAAATTCTCAGTGCGATGTTGGTGAGACCACTGGTTCTCGTTCTGCTCAAAACGAGAGGAAATGCTGTTGCCTCGACCTCCATGCGCCGTGAAGCCCTTGGGTGGGACTGGCTGGTGTTGTGAAATCTGCTGTCGATAGTCTACACCGCTTGAGCCGTCTGGGTGTTGTTGAATGCCCGAAAAGCTCCGTTGGTGGTCATAAGCTGTTGGAGCCCCGGCTTGGTGAAGTGCGAAGCTCGAAGAAGCTTGGGGGTGAATCATACGGTTCGAGGCTTGGTATCCCTGTTTACCATTTGCTCCAGCGACTGCATGAGGTCCTGAGCCAGATCTCTGTTGATCATTGACCAATGTCCGCGGCCCAGTTGAGTCATGATTGGCCGGACGAGTGCCAGATTTGTTGGATCGTGGGCCCTTCTTCTGCTCCTTCCCGTGACTCGTCGGCAGTTCTGACTTCTTGTTCTTGCTGCGTCGAGGAGTCTGGTTCTCTTTGACGGGCGCTGAAGTAGCCTGAGCTGTGTCCTAAGCAACTTCAGGACTACCAGACGGGCGCCTGGTTTCATGGTCGATTGACCTGAGGTCACCATTTGGAGGCACCGAAGGTCCAGCGAGCTCAGAGAAGCCCATGACAGCCGATGCTGGCAGTGATGCGGTCACAGTAGTCTGGGGGGCTCCTTGTGTGGATCGCGGGTTGTCACGTCCTCGCCGTCTGATTTTGGTTGGGGTAAGCGCAGCAAACTCCGAGTACTCGTCATCTTCATTCTCGCCGAGATGAGAGTCGTCGTCCCGCGCGTTTGAAGGAACACCTCCAGCCCCAGCATCCAACTCCCTAGCTGATTTGGCGACGGGGAGGGATTTGTAGCAAGGCATGGGCTCGGTCGATTTGCTCCTCGTTTCGGGCGAAACCTGCAACGTATGCGAACTTCCATCACTGCTAGCCGCTCTCGCAGGATCTGGCGTGATGGTCGTGTTGCTACCATGGGCAATGATGGGTCCGGCGGCAGCTGCGGACTGTTGGAGTTTTTCAACGGCACTAGAGGACCGACTCATACCCGGTGGGAGATAGTAATGATTGCCCTCGTACACAGTAACCGGTGCGGGAGCCTCCTTCGAGGCAGGCGAACAATGGTGAGACCTAGCTTGCGGAGGCGAAGGAAGACCAGAAGGCGTGAAGGCCCTTTGTCCAGCTGAGAAGGCATTAGCAGTGAATCACGATCAGGGCAACTAAACAAACCTAGCCAGTTTTCAAGGCTGTTGCGGAGGCAAGCCGAAGACAAGTGGGTGGGCTTTACGTCTTTAGAAAAGCTCCCAGGCTCGAGCATCAACATCCGTCGGTGCTTCAGAGCATTGGCGAGCATTGGCACTGCATCGTCTGGGACGTCACCAATGTCGGTCCAGTCTTCAGAGCTGAGGATGCGCAGAAGGGGCCCCTGCACCTCGCTCCATGACAGGAGCTTTGTCTTGTTGTGCTTGTGGCGAAGCCAGTCGTCAGCCCAGTGGCCGATGTGGACGGCAAACTCTTTGATGACATCAGCGTAGATGGTCTTGTTCTCGTCGAAAAGCTGGTTGACCACGTTCCAGAGGTTGAGGGCACCATAGTGATACAAGTCAAATGCATCAAAATACTCCCACAGGTTGTCCCAGCAGAAAGGCTGTCGCATGCTTTTCATGTGGTTCCAGTATAGCTTTCGCAGAGAGTTGCACACGGATTGTATCTCGTCCCTAGACCAGAGATGAATTCGGCGCTGAGGAAGCAGATGTTGCATCTTCCGAAATGGACGCTGGCCATTTTGGGTAGAGAAAATGGCACTTGCGTGAGGTCGCGGCTGGGTATAGAAACCCACGGGAAGGTAGTCTTCGACATAGGTCTGGGGAACACCCTCCGCTCCAGGCGTTTGGAGCATCTTGTAGACGTTTGGCAAGCCATTAGGGTAGAACTCGGTGAATGCGGCCTGCAGGCTGGGAGGCTGGTCCTTGGCGTAAACTCGCCCGCAGACGATCGCGTTGGGATGCGGCGGCGGCCCCGGAGGCGGTGATTCCTCCATGTTGGGGAGGTGAGGGTGAGCTATGGTGCTCCCTGTCGACAAGAGTGGTCAGCGCTTGTCGGAAGAGAAAAGAAGCAGAAGTGATGGGCCCTTCGTGGGCGCGAGGGAGTTTCATGTCAGTTCTTGCCAGAGGGTCGTCTGCTCCGAGCGAAAGGCAGCGAACACATGGCAAGGCGACGGGTGAAGCGAGGCTGGGTGCTTTGAGATATGCTTACCTTCTGAAAACGAAAGGGCACAGCACCGGGCTGAGATGATGAAGACGATGCGATAGCTTGGGCTCCGTAGCCGAAAGATGTGAGCGCAAGGTGAGGGTTGCTCCTTCCTTTGCAGAGTCGAAGACGTCGGATGAAAGCGACGCCAAAAATGAAGGTTAGGCACAACGACGAAAACTCTTCACTCTTGTGGGAAAATGAGGGTGGAGAAGAAGAGGAGAAGAGAAGATCACAGGAAAACAAAAACAAAGAGGATAAAAACGAGCGTCAGAAGCGGGTGGTCACTGGCACTGGCACGGCACTGGCAGCTCGCACTGGCAGCCGGCAAAAGGTGAATGATAGTTGGCACTGGCGAACAATGGCCGACTAACCAAACACGCGTGCACCTTGATAATGACCCCCAGAAGAACAGAAACAACCAAGGGAAAACAGACAAGCAAAGGCCGGGAGGAGAGCCTCAGGTCAAGGGTAATAGGCAAGGCAGTCGGGGGATCGGGAGTTGATATTGGATCGCAGACAAGGACTACAACCATTGAAGAGAACGACCGACAAGGGTGCTTGCTGCTGTTTCCCGCCGCACACGAACATCACTTCCCGCCACTTCCGTCTAGATGAAATATGTTTGCACAGTTGTTTTGCATCGGAGTCGAGGTCGTCCCATCTCGTGAAGACGTTTTTCGTCTCGTGGCTCTGCTGAGTCAATAGTCAAGTCATCTTGCCGTATCCAGGGGTGCACGTGGATTTCTTTATAGAATGGCAGAGCGTTTATGAGCTTCTCGTCTTTCCAGTGATTGTGCTCCGACCGGATACCTGCTTTCAGCCCAGACAGCCTATCACGCACGAAAAAAGGGGGCTGACTCACTGCTTCAATCATTTCTAGTGCAGCATCTTCATTGTCATCCATTCACGGCCACAAGGTTATCAAGTTTTCATCGTCAAATATTGCTATCTGGGAATCCAGATATGCGCTTGGTATTTACAAAAGGGGGGATGAGGCGATGTTTTGTACATGAATACAGAGAAAGGTCATTACTTCTTGGCGTTCAGCAGCTTGAGGATCTCGGACTCATTGTCACCGGCAATGGCCTTGCCATTGTTCCAGTCCACGACCTGCGAAAAGAATTAGCTGGGAGCTACTAGAAATGCAAACTCAACATACCACTGGCCGGAGAAAGTTCTCCCTGCTCTCCTTAAACTTCTTCAGGGCATCCTTCTCGTTGTTTGCACCCTTGATGATGTTGGAGATGCCGCTGGTTCCAACATACTCCAAGATCGTCTTGACCTGGTCGTCGGTGGGGGGATCCTCAGTGACGTTGAGCTCAAACTGCTCGCGTGCGGGCTTTGTCTCGCTCGCCTGGTCAAGGGTAGCTCCAGCAGTAGCATTGGCAGAGACCTGCTTGAGAAGGTTGGCGACTCTCACCGAGGCGGGAGAGCTGGCCTTGTGAAAGACCGTGACGATGTCGAGTGTCTTGTGCTGCGTGAATGATGAGCAATTGCAAGCGCTGGTGACTTTGGGTAAGTGACTTACAAAACGGAACATTTTGAATGCTTTTGAAGACGAGATTGGTGACTGTTAGGAGGAATTGACTTTCGAGGAAAGATGCAAAGATGTGCTTTTCACTGAGAGGTTGATGTCGGAGCTCCGATTTGGTATAGCTTCGTGAAGCTGTATGTCACGCCGGATGATGACTTAATGGCTCGGCTTTCCGGGTGGCCCGTGCGCCGGGACCGTCCACCAACACCCGCCATCTTCCGCCCGATGACGGAAGTGATTGGCCCTGGATCCGTTGGAAGCCAACCTGGAACACCAAACAATCCAGGCCCGACAACCAAACATCGGTTGCTCATGAGATGAGCTGACGGAATTTATGCCCAAGTTTCGGAGATTTTGTAGTCCAATGGCGATCCTCCTGGTTCTGAACACATGAGATTGCCGCACTGGGGCTGCTGTTGACAATGGCTCATGGATCTGCTTGAGAAGCCAACATCCCTGAGGTAACGAGCAGACGAGAACGATCCCCGGATGCCCGCCTTCGTACTGTTGCCGAATTCTTCTAGTATACATATCTCTCTTTTCAGCCCTCGAGAAGCCATTAAAACAACAACAGCTTTGCTATCAGGCGGCTGTCAAAGCGTCTACGGATCGTTGATCTCCCGTGCATGGCAAATTGATGAAAGCGCAACCCAGAACGATAGAGGCGAAGCCCTGAAATTCCAAGACCAGACCTTTCATATTAGCTATCACATATCTCCATTCGGGAGTGTCCAGATCTTGCTTGGATTTGCTTCGCTGCACGTAGCATCCTGCCTAGGTCATAGTTTGCTATGCTGCGCCTACAAACAAACCTGCATTCTGGCCAGAGCGCGCCGTAGGATCGCTAACAACACAATGTCATCAAAGTCAAACAAACTAACTAAATCGTTCCCTTTCATTCCATGACGTATGTGTGTCGATGGGCGCGATGTTTTCACCAAGCGCCATGCAATGACGTCTTCTATGAAGTCAGGCTGTGGAGACGACCACCATGGCAGCTTCCATATCTTCTAAGTGACTACCTACCTACAAAAGGCCGTCGACTCGAAGGGCAATTTCTTTCATACAGCATCACTCTTCACTCTTCAATTCTACATTCTACACACAAACGTAATCACAATCACTTCCATCATGTCTGGAAACTCAAACGTTGGTAACCGTGGCGTCTACGAGGCTGGCGACCAGAGGAACGCCCCCGAGTCTGAGAACACCCACGAGCGGTTCAACGAAGGAGTTGAGAACTCCCATCTCAGCCTGGATTCCAGTAAGACAAAGCAAACAAGAATACTCCATGTCAAACACTAACAACATTGCAGAGGATGAGCGATCAATTGCCAACCGATTGGCGGCCGAGGAGGTTTGTTGATACCATCAATCACCATCAGAACAGCAACTAAGCAGCAACAGAAAAGAGAGGAGGCCGATGATGACATCGAGACACAACGGTTGAAGGAGGACCCTACTCTGCCTGTACGTAACCCCTACTCATCATGAATCGGCAGCTCCGAGTACTAATTTTTATTTAAGGCTCGCGCGCACGGTAATGAGCCTTCAAGGGGCGCCAAGATTGACGCTCAAATCCAAGCACAGGAAGAAGAGGAGCTCAAGCGAAAGGGCAAGGCTTAGGGAAGGACGTCAATGTGTTATCGGCATGCAAGCAAGGCTCGTGGGATAAATTAATGATCAATTCTGGCATGGAAATTATTTCTATTTCTTGATGACACGCATCCAGTCGCGACATCAGATGACGCGTGATAAAAACCAATATTCGGGAACTCAGAGAAGGTTGAAGGACGAGAACGTCAATCCAGTAAAGCTAGCTAATCGAAGAGCTTGGTGCATCACTATTAATCATTATTAGCCATCCTGTGCATGAACAGAAGTGCAAGAACAATTTGGAGAGAGAAAAGTGTTGTTCAGAATATGTAAGAAATTGAATATCAGCTTGCCACCCGATATAGCGACTCAGGCGAGAGTGCCATCGGACAGAATCAATCGCAAATTACCTCATCCTAGTACATGGAAAGAAGTCAAAGAAAAATCTGTCGGCTTACCTTGATGCATGCAAGATCGTGTGAGTTCTTTAACCAAAGAAGTGTACTGCAGGAGAAGAGCTGAGGCTGTCTGAAATTTTCTTTTGAAGCTCTCAGCCGAGGCTGGTCCGTGCATACCCCTGGAGTCACGTCGCGGGTCGGATCCCGGCGAAAAGTAAACCCGGAAGTTTTGGTTAGGGCACAGGATCATTTTCTGCCCGCACATGTGTGATAGCCGAGTCAACCCTCAAAAAGTCCTTAGCGATTTCAAGGTCCGCGAGGCTCCAGAAAACAACCAACTAACGGGACAGCATAATCGACAACTGGTATGAACACCGACTCCTACGATCGCAGTTACATTCGAGCAATCACTGCGCGCGACTTTTGAATCTTTCGACTAATCGACCACTACACAGATCACCGTCACAATGGGCGACGCAGTCATTGAGGGTTCGAACTGGCGCCTCGTCGAGGTCGGCCGTGTCGTTGTCATCAACGGCGACCACCCCTTCGCGGGCCGCCTGGCCACGATCGTCGAGATCATCGACCACAAGCGAGTAGGTTCTGCCTGCACCGGCTTCCTCAGCACACGATATTGACCCGCACAACAGGTTCTCGTCGACGGTCCTTCCGCCAAGCCCGAGCTCGCTGTTCCCCGACAAGCCGTTCCCCTCAGCAAGGTCCTCCTCTCTTCCCTTATCATCGAGGGCCTCAACCGCGGCTCCCGAACCGGCACCGTCCGAAAGGCCTGGGAGAAGGCCGAGATCGACTCCAAGTGGGAGCAGACCAACTGGGCCAAGAAGCGGGATCAGATTGAGCGGAGGAAGGGTCTCACCGACTTCGACCGCTTCAAGGTTCTCCGACTCAAGAAGCAGCGACGATTCGAGGAGCGCAAGGCTCTGGCCAAGGTCAAGGCCTCGGCATAAATGGGTCATTAAAGCTGGAGTCACGGAGGTGCTAGGTCGGGTTTAGATCGAGAGGCACGGAACTGGGCAGGAAACACATCACGGCAGCGTAGAGGCTGCTGGATTCTCTTTTGCTCCGTCCTGGAAGGCTGTATGTCACATTTCATCGTCATGATGAACGGCGTCAATACGGAAATTCTGAGATCAAATGAATTCACAGCATGAGGAGCATTCAAAAAAAGACTGGATCATTGTGAAGTGTAGCCAAAAAATAAAAAGCTTATGAATACCCCAGAATCATTCCTTCCCGTGCAATGAATTGCCCGCAGTCTCCCAGTATTGATATCCAATTCCCCCCAAACTCGTCGTCATGCCTGACGAGCAAGTGTTGCAAAAAACCTGATTACCTAATGCAGTTTAGTTCCCACCTGCCCACCAAGCCCTAGAATTATCACTGTGCGATATTCTCATCACAAACGACGACGAGAGAGATCCGGCCAGCCAACAGACGTAACTGGGACCAGCAAACAAGTAAGTTCACGGCTGCCATTTTGTTCTTTGTGTCACAATTTCGTCAATTTCGGCGGTGGCGACAAATTTCTGCTCACAAAATTCCCTCTGAGGAATTGACAAGAACGAATCACTAACATCTACGCCCGCACCAGCCGCCAAAATGTCGAACCCCCGCGTTGAAGAGCTTCCCGATGAGGAGCCCAAGAAGACCGTTGTCGAGGAGCACGATGACAGCAGCGACGACTCCGAGGCTGAGGAGGTCGGCGAGGGCCAGCTGCCCGCCGGCTCTACTGCCGTGATCCATAACCGCAACGAGAAGAAGGCTCGCAAGGCCCTCGAGAAGCTGCACCTTACCCGCATCCCTGGCATCACCCGTGTCACCCTCCGCCGCCCCAAGAACGTGAGTAGAGAGGCGTCTTTTCCGGCCGAACGAGGGCCATGGAGGGGTAAATGAGGGATCATGCTAAACCACGTGCTCCAGATCCTCTTCGTTATCAACAACCCCGAAGTCTACAAGTCTCCTAACAGCAACACTTACATGTGAGTGGCTACGGTTCTTACACACGGCGCCTGTGTCTAATTTTTGTCATAGTGTCTTCGGTGAGGCCAAGATCGAGGATGTCAACGCCGCCGCCCAACAAGCCGCTGCCCAGCAGCTTGCCAGCGCCAACGCCGAGGCTGACCACGCCGGTCACAACCACGGCGAGTCCAGCAAGGCTGTCGAGTCCGCCGAGGCCAAGAAGGAGGACAACGATGATGACTCTGATGAAGAGGAGGATGACGATGAGGAGGTTGATGCCACAGGCCTGGAGGATAAGGACATTGAGCTTGTCATGACCCAAGCCAGTGTCAGCCGCAACAAGGCAATCAAGGCATTGAAGGAAAACGACAATGATATCGTCAACTCCATCATGGCTCTAAGTATCTAGGGCTAACTGGCTGGCTGAACTGGATCTTCCACAAAAGCTCGAGCACGGGACACACACTGGGCTCTGTATTAGTTCTGGGTGAATTGTACCCCGCGAAAAGGATTTGATGCCAAACAAAGGAATCAATTGAAGAGGAATCACTGCCTCAATCCATCAAGAACTGTTTATGAGTTGTGACTTGTGATTTTTTTTGTAACTGCTTGCACAATTCGTCCTTGTAAGCTCTCTATATCGGAAGCTCCAACATCTAGCTTTAAACAATTCCGCAATAACTTGTAGAGTTACACTGCGTCTCAATGGTTCCTCTTCATTTATTATTCAGCCAAGCATTTCCCCAGTCCAGGGATCCCAACCCTTCTCCTGGTCGTCATTGAGGGGTTCCGAAGCCGCCGCTCACCGGATTGAAGAGGGACATCACGTGATGTATTAGCGCCCGGTAGTTCCCTGGCGAAGTTCGGCAAAGTCAATCAACATCCATCAAGATCATCCTCTACGTCCCTCGACATCGCAACCCCTCGTTCAAAATGGCGACTGTAAGTTCAATTCATCAATTGGCGCGTGCGACTGATGGTAGATGCCGTCAATTCCTTCCCCGGCGCCCCGGCACGCGTCCGCTCGTCCTCGGAAGCCGTGAGCTAATTTTCTCCTTCTCCGACAGCGAAGCGCAGCTCTCAAGCTTGACTGGACCAAGGTCACCAGCTCCCTCGGTCTCCGTGGCCAGACCGTCGCCTCCCTCCAGGCCTTCAAGAAGCGCAACGAGGACGTCCGCCGCAAGGTCCAGCAGCTCAACGAGCAGCCCACCACCGTCGACTTCGCCCAGTACCGATCCGTCCTCAAGAACCAGGCCATCATCGATGAGATCGAGAAGCGATTCAAGGCTTTCACCCCCGTCACCTACGATGTCAGCCGACAGCTGAAGGCCATCGACGCCTTCGAGGCTGAGGCCGTCAAGAACGCCGAGGCCACCAAGCAGGCTGTCGACCTCGAGCTTAAGGACCTTGCCGCCACCCTCAAGAACATCGAGGAGGCCCGACCATTCGAGGACCTCACTGTCGTACGTATCGCGGACTCGGTGGTAATTGATTGGATTTTCACACTTTGCAGGACGAGGTTGCCGCCGCCGAGAAGTCGATCGACGAGAAGACCGCTCAGCTCGTTTCCAAGGGCCGATGGATGGTGCCGGGTTACAAGGTGCGTACTCTTGAATTTGAGAGTTGTGACAGTTCTGACCCCCGCTACAGGAGAAGTTTGGCGACCTGGCCATGGTTTAATCGAATTACGCATTCCGGATCCCGGCTTCGCGTTGTGTACTCTAGCATTGTAGATACGAGAACCCGAGGCAGAACCCAGGTTTTCCTCATACCCAACCACCTACAACATTTCCTGTGTGCTTCACGCAACTTGCTTCACTATTGGGCCCGTTCCAGCTATGTGGTTATGGGAGCCCAAGGCAACGAGGGCGGACAATGCTATAACATGATTCCCGTTTCAAGTTCAAGTTCAAGATGTCAGGTTAAACCTGGCCATCATATGCGTCAACTCGTGCCCATGTTCATTCATCGCCCTCTTAGTAATCCATGATCTTATTTGCCTCAAAATATGTATCGATAGGAGGGACTTCCTAATAGGTGAGTTTTCTGATGAGTATCAACATGGTTCGCCGTTCGGAAACCCGAGTGTCAGCCTCCGCTCGGCCGAGTGTGGATCTGATGAACAATACCCATGTTCCACCAATTCTCAACGTTGATGGTATTAAACTTTGGATCTCAGAGTCTCGGCCTAACAAAAGAAGGTGTGGTCTTGCGGGATGCTATACGCTCTGTACGAAACGGATGCTGAGTCCGTCTTATAATCCTGGAGTCTGATATGATGATACCTATCGACATACCCTATACCTCATCACGGATCATGGTAAGAAGTGATTAGGTTGATAGTGAGATCGAATAAAACAGTCATGGACCTCTTGGTGAGAGCATTGTCATTTTCATTAAGTTTGATGAGCTGTCGTTGTGTTGCGGTTGGTTCAAAGCTTTGATAACCCTGGTGTCCGATATTACCTGGCGCAACAACACTAACAACATTACATGCCAAGACTGGTGATAGTCTTAGACGTAACATCTTATCCAATAGCAAAACAAGGAAATAACAATTTGGCCATTGAAATAGAGCCCTCATCTCAAGTCCGTACAAGATTTTCGTGAAGCTATTGACGCAACTTGTCGTCACGTGTGGTTCTTGTCTTTATCCGGCAGTTTAACCTCCCGCCATACATTCACACAGCTCATTGCATACAACTTCCCTCAAACTCAACCCGCAAAACTATACCCTCCAAACTCAAATAAGACCCCCAATCTTACCATGATGGCTTCCGTACCTGAGCTCGAAAAATATGTCTTCAAGACAGCACCTCCACTCGACCCCGCCTGGTTGGAGTATGAAGAGGAGGTGAGGCAAAAAGGACCTCCCCGAGTATTCAACTCTGTTCTAGAGAGACAGCCAGTTTATGCCCAGGAATGTCGTGAATTGAACGCACGAATGATGGCTCCTGGAGCTAGAGATTATGAACTTTCCCAAGACATCATCAAGAAGGAATTTACTATCCCCTCGTCTCTGGATGAGTTTCCTATTTCTATTCTTCAACTGGAACTGGAAAACGGCCAGCCCTCTGATCCTGATGTTGTCATCATATATTATCATGGAGGAGGCTTGAAGGTTGGCGAAGCTGATAGCGAGGAGCTTTCCTGTCGCCGCCTGGTTAAGTGTGGCCTGGGAAGAGTGCGCCTGTACTCCATCGGTTATCGTCTTCTACCCTCTTCTCCTGCCAGTACATGCTTATCAGACTGTATGGATGGCTTCAAAGCGTTTGGAAGTCAAGCAACAAAGACGATTGTGGTGGGAAGTTCGAGTGGCGGACAGATGGCAGCTGCAGTAACTCAAGCAGCGCCAAAGGGATCCATACATGGACTACTGCTGAGATGCCCCGTCACAGCAGATGGACCGAGCGGTGCTGAGTTTATCCCTGAAACGCTACAACAATACCATACCAGCGTCTCTCCGACATTCATCACATCCCTAAACGGATACCTACAGCGAGATACTCCAAGGGATGGCCTCGACAAGCTTCCCCTGGAAGTCACAAAAGCTGAATTGGAGGGCCACCCTCGGACTTGGATTCAGCTCGTCTCAAACGATACGATTTATTCAGATGGACTCTGTTATGCTATTCTTCTGAGGCAGACGGGTATCGAAGCTCAAGTGCAGGTCGAGATGGGCTGGCCTCATACGTTCTGGTTGAAAGCCCCTCATCTGGCTCACGCTTTGGCAGCCGAGGAAAGGATGGTGGAGGGGCTGAGGTGGCTTCTTGAATGAACGAGGGCCTTGAGCTATGGAATTACAGAGTGGGTGCTGCTACTGTAGTCTTAGGTGTGATAGTCGTCTTGAGAAATAGGAGCGTATCAAAGCTACCGATGTCAGGTCTCAACAATTAGGGTGGTATCAAGTTCTTTTAATCTAGTAAAAATGAAGTGCGATCCATCAAAGGCTGGCTAGTAATGAAGATAGATGGCTGACCTTCTGTAAGCAAGCTGCTTATATAGAGTCAGCATCGTTTTTCATTACTACACAGCCCCCAAAGATGCCCTCAAGCTCGCGGGTCTGGTCTGTTATCTGAGACTCTATCCTTTCGCTGGGATGGGGGTTTCCTACTCAGGGTGCCCTAATCCATCTTATCCCTTAGCCACTCCCGGCTACGTCGATCCATAGCTCGTAACAGTTCCTCAAAAGGTATTAGTTCCTCAAAAGGACCTCTGCTCCTTGGCTTGTTCCTGGGAGCTGCTTTAGCAGAGAGAGTCAAAGCGCCCTGCTCGTCAAGTCCAAGTTCCTTGACTAGAGACGTTGGTATGGCTATGAGGATCACCCTGCAACGATCGACATCGCTGAGCTGTTGCCAAAGATCTGGGTTGATGAACAACATCAGATCAGTCAAATCTGCCACTATGTTGGCGACTTGGTGATGTGTGATGACATCAGAGATGTTGTCCGAGAAGTGTAGGTTGAGATACTCCTATAAGTCATGCCATGTCATTAGTTACGGTGCCCAACTGCATAGGTAAGGGGGTATCCAGGGGAATGAGAACATACTTGGCCACCAGGGGCTGGAAACTCGATGTGAAGCGAGCGATCGGTCCAAGGCTGTGCTGCCACCCTCCCCTTACGGCGAGAGACAACATCAACGTTGGAGGCCATGCGCGGAGTGAAGTTGGCCATGATACACTCGAGGACATAGACCAGCCGACTCATGAGGTTTAAAGTACGCAGGATTCTCTCGTGGAGGCTTGGGTTGACTGACTGAAGCGTTACATGCCCCTGGGGCAGGCGTTCGAGGACGTCAGGGCCATGCATTGTGGTAGCTCTTTTAGGTATTAGATTGCTGGGATGGATGGTTGTCCGAAAGGTGTATTAGGGGAAGCGACAAAGGGGAGAAGGGAAGAGAAAGGGGAAAAGAGGTAATAGGAAGAAGACGGTGTGTTTATATTCACTTTAATCCCAACAATTAAACGGCGTTTTAGGCATCCTCTCAACAACCTTGATAGTCTAGTGTCATCGTGAGCTTCAAGTGATTATGTAGATTTCGTTGTATCCAAGGTGTCAATATCAAAGTTTTGACTGAGGATTTTGAAGAGCTTCTAGTCAGCTCACGGCCCAATATAAATCATCATCCAGTATAACGTGGCGGGGTTGTTCCTGATTGTAACCTTTAGATTGTAGAATGGTGTCGGATTAAACAAGTCAAGTCTCTTGGGTCTATAAGACAACACCAAGCGCAAACCTGCAAGTGCCCATTGTTCCTCGCTCCAAGATCAAGAATGCTCTCTACAACGAGATACACCAAGCCGGCCCCCGAAACTCCCAACACTTGTGCTCCGAAATACCTCTCTTTCCCAAATGATACAGGTACAGCGGCTTCGAGTCTGGTTCTTTTGCAATTGTATTTCTTTGGTTTCTTTATCTTCAGGGTTGCGCGTACTTTGCGGTCCACTCCTTGGCCGTTGCGATGGCCGCCTGCTCGTCCTCCTTCCAGCTCTTGGCAACGTCGGCGGCGAGGGGGTCGTCGGGGTTCGGGGCACCCAGGAGGGCTTGGATCGAGAGCAGGATCGTTCGGATCTGGAGGGCGGGAGACCAGTTGTCTATGGCATTTGTCAGCTTGACTGCTTTGTGGGACTCGGTTATTCTTATTCCACGCACTCTTCAAGACATCGAGGCAGATGCGGCCGAGCTTGTCAACGTTGGGGTGAAAGATCTTTGTGAGGAAGCGAATCTTGGGAGGAGTCATGGGATAGTCGTCGGGTAGGAAGAGCTCGAGCTTGAAGACGCCGCCTTGGGAAGGTTAGCTAGAGACTTTGCGAGGCAGCAAGGGAGCGCACCTTCGTATGGCGACTGAGCAGGGCCATGGATCTCGACGTCAAAGTATCGCAGGTTATCCTCGTGGGGAACGGCGCTGATTCCTGGAACACTACATCGCGGCTGGTGTTAAAATGACATGCATGTCGCAGCGCGAGATCCTTGGGGGATGACCTACGGCTCGGCCATGAGCCGTTCCGTCTCTTTGACAATGCGCTTGGGGAGAGCCATCTGGATGTTTAGAAGTTGATATTCGAGGTACAGGTCGGCAGAGAGAGGACGACTTCGAGTCGGAATATGCGCAGGTCTGGCGTCGGTGTGTCGGTGGACCAAGAGGGACGTGTTTTGACGGTGAAGGGTTGAAGATCAAGTCTTGACTCTGAACCCTTGGAACGAGGCGGGGCAGACAGAGACACGAGGGGGGCGGATAAGTATCGTAGAGGGGCAAGTCAGGGAAGCAAAGGGGAGAGAAGATGCTCGGTTATGCTCCAAAGGTTATAGAATAAATACTTTAGATAGGGCCCGAAAACAAGGCCCAACGTCTATTTACTGCAAGAGTCGGGTGATGAGATGGACGTTAAGCAGGAATGTACGGATACTGACTGTATCACTCACACAGCACAGCACAGCACAGCGACAAACACCACCATCCACGGCATGCGCCCGATAAGGCACCCGACCTGCGCCTGGTGGCGGAAGGTTCCGTCAGGTGCCATGATGGCGGGGAGGGTACATGCAATGACCAGCCCGGGCCAGTCGCGCTTAATAAGGTTGCAGGGGTGTTAGTACCTGGACCTGGGAGTTTGGAGACGCGAGCTTCACTCACCAACCATCGTGACCTATTCATCTCATCAATATTCGCCAGACAATCGCCATTACGGCCCAGAAGCTGCTACAGGGGGTCTCTGCCAGACAATGAGATGACCTGCAGCCGTTTGATGGCGCTGCGCCTTTGATCAAAGCACTGCCCCTTCTCGTGAGCCTTGGCATGAGGAATGTCGTGATAGCTTCTTCATCCGGCCACCCACCACCATGCCCTCGTTCGACCAGCTCACCGATCCCCCCAAGAAGGGCAAAATCATCAAGTCGGCTTATGATAGTGAAAGCTTTGAGTCCGATGGCACCATCCACGTTGATGGCCTGGTTGGCTCAGCCACCATCTCCCCAGCTGGCCGCGATGTCGCCTTAGCTTCGTAGGTTGCATGACAGATTTATACCGGATGCACCTTGACTGACATGCATAGACCCGACGGACTGGCAATCATAGACTTGGATTCGCCGTATAGTCCCCCGCGTCGTCTACGGACTCATGGCCTCCCCTGGCTGGTGGTTGATGTTCAATGGTCCCCTTTTGCAGCTCGAGACTATTGGATCGTCTCAGCCGCCAACCATCGCGCTCTCGTGTGGAATCTCAATCGCAGAGAAGACTCTAGTTCTGGCGCTATTGAGCACTCACTTCAAGGCCACAGCCGTGCAATCACCGATGTCAACTGGTCTGCTCATCATCCCGATCTCCTTTCAACCTGCTCAGTAGATGGATACATCCACGCGTGGGATCTTCGACGACCTCGCCAGCCAGTTCTCACCTTTTGCGACTGGACGGCTGGTGCATCGCAGGTCAAATACTGTCGCCAAGCTTCTCATATTCTTGCCTCGGCCCATGATCGATGGCTTCACATTTGGGATGAGCGCCGCTCATCTGAACCTCTCAAATCTATCAAAGCTCACAAGTCAAAGATTTACGGCCTGGATTGGAATCGAAATCGGCCAAGTGCAATTGTGTCATGCTCCATTGATAAGAGCATTAAGTTCTGGGACTACACCGTTGATGATCCTCTCGAACACACCATCGAAACTGGTTTCCCTGTATGGAGAGCCCGGCACACGCCCTTTGGACAAGGCGTTGTTGCTATACCCCAAAATGAGCCTGGCGACCTGTACCTCTATAGCACCCGGTTCGAAGAAGGATCCGATGTGACGTCGAGTCCGGTGGATGTCTGGCCTGGTCATGGTGACCACAAGGCAAAGGAGTTCCTTTGGCGCTGTCGCGGCGGTGTCACTGAAGACGGGATGGACGATCGCGAATTCCAGCTTGTCACCTGGGGTACTGATAATGAGCTCAAACTTCAATGTATTGATCCTCAAACCCTGGCCACCATTGGCCACACTCGAGGAATGCCTGCGGCACCGGGCATCAGTCTCACTCGCAAAGGCGCCACCTACAAGACCTTTCGCACCGTCGACGATAGCACGGATCGCGATCGCAAGACTGCCACCATGAGTGATCATCGACCTGGCGGTGGGAGCAACTACAGACAAAGTGCCCTGACACTGGGTATGCGATCAGGCGCGAGCCAGAACCATCGTGTCGGCGTGGCATGGCGAGGCCCTTCGATGAAGGCTAAGGTCACTTCAGGGAGGGCCCTCGATCGTAGCCAGTCACAGATCGGTTGGATGAAAGGTATTGCCATGACCAAGAGGAAAGTCTCGGCGGGCGCAAAACGGCACATGTCGAAGGACTCGGGCATCTTTGGTCATGGATATCCTGATGACGAGTGGGCCGAACCGGATACTATTCAGGAAGAGCTCTTGCGAGTCAGTACGCAGCTTCCCAAGGTGAGATGGGAGAACATCGATATGGACAACCTGTCCCTTAACGCCTCGTTGAACGGTCCGTGGGGCGTGGACGGGGAGACCATCTTCATCAAGGTCAGGATCGACATCCCGGTTGGCTATCCCAAGGCCAGAGCGCCCAAGTTCTACGTCGAGAGATCATCCTTTATGCCAGCAGCAACTCACAAGAAGATCGACCGTGAGATTCATCAGCTGGCGGATCGGTTCCTGCAGAGAAAGCAAAACTGTCTTGAAGTGGCCTTCACATACCTCCTCGGAGAAGTTGACCTCGAAAGCAGCACCACCTTTTTCAAGAATGTTCGAGATCTTGATGACGACCTCGACGGATTAGCCGACGAGAGTTCGAGCGAATCTGACGAGGACATACCAGCTGGAGGTTCGGCCTCCATGTCACAAGAGCTTCCACCGCATGCAGAGATAGACACCGCACTTGCGCCTCCCAACAGGACTATTGTTCCACCGACCCCTAGAACGTGCGGTGCTAGGTTCTCGCACAACGGGCGGTTGGTCTGCTTCTTCCCCTCAAAGGAGGAAAAGGCGAGAGCACTGTTTACCACTACCATGGACGCATACAGGGAACGTCCCAAAGGGGAACCCTTCTTCGCGGGCTTTGGTAAGATCGCCCACGACCTGGGACCCCGGCAGAGATTCATGGGAGAGGACGCATCCATGTCCAGTGGTGACTCAGATTCACCCGCTTCCGGCTCTTCCTCGTCGTCGTCATCTTCGAGCGATTCGGAATCGACATCGATGCACAAGATCAACCTGTGGTATCACCCCAGTCGCCAGTTTAGAAAGACGTGGAGTGAGGATCGGTCAATACGCTCCAGCGGCGGAGGCACTGGCGTTGGTACCGGCACAGGCACCGGCACAAGTCGTCGACGACCTGGTCGACCAAAGAACCTGATATCGATACACGATCTCCGAGCGACGCTGCCGTCCAAGGAAGAGTTTGCTCGCGAGTATGCCATATTTGGAGACGGAGCTGACGTCTGCGAGCACAATGCCCAGGTAGCTGAAAAGTACGGGGCCAGGGATCTGGTTGATGTGTGGCGATATCTGGCACTACTCCTAAAGAAGGGCGTTCCGCTTGAAGTGCTTTGTCACAACCAGAGGCGTGACTCGATCCTGGTGATCGCTCACGATGTGGTTTCCAGATGTCACGAAGACGCTCTTCCTTTAGAGTCAGCTGTGGATAAAGGCAACGGGACTCTGACGGGTAGGGTGAAATGGGGTCAACACCCTCTGGCCAGAGACTTCATCATGGACCTGTTTTTCTACTTTGAGAGAATTGCCGATGTCCAGATGTTGGCCATGCTCTCATGCATATTCAGCGAGTCTTCAGCCCCGGACAGCGTGGCCTACTTTGAATCGCATCTGGCTCAGCCGGAAACTCCTCTTCCTCTCAAGGCGCCGGCCTTTTCTCTCGACTATTTCCCGACGGATGCTTCACTCTGGAACATCAACAGTCGCAGCTATACCAACTCTGCCATCACGACTCCCATGACCATCCATACTCCTGTCCATTATGCGGGATCACAAGCATCTGATGATGGTCTCTGGAATGGAGATCCGGCGTCAAACTCGTACTCTTGCGGAGAAACGCCGCCCAACAAGTTCAAGGACTATCTTGGGGATCTTGAGCCACCACCAAGTGTGTCAACATCTCCAAACACACGCTTCCTGAATCGAGCAAACTCTGGGCTGGCATCAGCCTTTACAGCCAACCTACCCAACCTGCCTCGTTCGTTTGCCGGCGTGAGCTCATCATCCCCGCCAAGCCATGGGAAGAAGAAGCCAAACCCCGCAGAAACGATCCTCAGCAGTCTAGCTCCTGGAAATGTGACATGGAGTGCATCAACGGCGATGGATTCGAGCGGGGGCAGGACGTCTCTGGATGATGACGAGTACCGCAAGGACGAGGTACTGCCGCTGGTTCCTACAAAGATCTCGGTGTCGATGGAGGATCAAACAATATTCGACGATGACGGCTGGCTCAGCACGCCACTCCTTGAATCCAATCGTGGTGACGTATACGCTCATTATCGATACGCATACGCAGAGATGCTGCAAATGTGGAACCAACCCCTTGCTAGACTCGAGATTATGAAGTTCAACGCTCTCAAGGAGGACGTGGTTGGTGGGCACATGGACGGTAGCTACCCAGATTCTACTCATGATGGAGCGAGCGGGAATGGACCCATCACCCATGCCAACTCACCTCCTATTGCCATGGGCAAGAAGGATCAGCTTCAGGCTCTGCTCGCATCCGGCCGTGGGCTTGACGTGACGGGAGTATGCCGCATCCACGAGATCCAGCTCGAACCTGTTCGTTACACGTCGACCGACTCCAAGGTCGGCGGTGCGGTGGGCACATGTGAGCGCTGCCATCGGTCTCAGAGCCAGCTTATATGCGTTTACTGTCTCGAGCCCGTGGATGCCCTCTTCCCACCGTGCTTGGCCTGTGGATGTGCAAGCCACGAGGCATGTCTAGCGGAATGGCATGCTGCTGGGGAGACGCAGTGTCCGGCGGGCGATGAGTGCAACTGCGTCGAGGAGGCAGACGATGGTCAGGTTGAATCCTGGGCGGCTCTTCGTGGAGCCGTCTTTAAGGGGCCGAGGCATCTCCCCATGTTACCAGGCCCAGCACTGGGCGATAGCGACGAGGAAGAAAAGGTGGTTCGTGAGTGGGAGAGAGTCGAGCCGGCTATACCCACACGAATGCAGGGGCTCTCAGCTGCCAGCATCAGCTTGGGCAACAGGCTGAGGAAGTCAGCAGGCGAATGGTCAAGGGCTTCGAGCTTGAGGAGGAATGACCGGAGGAATCTAATGTAACATGACCGACACATCACAAGAGTTGGAGTAATGGTTGTTGGATATTGGAGGTTCAAGTTGTTCTTTGTATTGAGG